GTTGGTAGGGTTATTAAGGGTTCTGGACCCCCCCCCCCAAAAAAAAAAAAAAAACCCCGACCGGTAGGTGCCAACCAGCCAACCAGTCGGCTGGTCGGCGTCTGACCAGTCAAGGACCACCGACCATCGGGGTATGCAACACTGATTATCTATTTAATATTTATTGAATTTGTATTTGCATCCTTGCTCTATTTATTAAATTTGTATTTGTATCCTTGCCTGTTAATTCTGTGACGTATTTCTTGAGAAGTTTCAATGTTAATAATACAAGAAAAAAAACAAACAGGAGAGAGGAGGGGACAATCTATCCAGTGAGCGGATCATTTCTTCTGTGTCCCTCGATTAGCCGGCATTGCAAAATTAGACGGTCCTCAAGGAGGTTGACAATTAGTGGGAGAATTGCATTGACGATCGAGGAAAACATCAGGAAAAAAAAGGAACAAAACAGTGTTTTCAATTTCCCAAGCAGCAACCTAAAAACCATGCCGTTCTCAATTCGGCCAAGGCAGCTTCCAAGCCAAACCCTCCACCTCCACAGTTGTACACTGACCCAACAGTACACCTGCAATAACTCGGCTCAAATCTGCACAGCTGTGGGTTCTAGGTCGTCACTTTGGGTCAAAGGCTCGAAACAGGGTTCAAAAGTCACGCCCTAAGTCTAAGAAAAGCCTGGGCAAACGCCTAAGGCCAAGGGGTACCAAGGGCAGGGCCAAAACCAGCATTCAGAGGCCCTGTGAAGAACAGTTGACTTTGAGAAAGTCAACGGTCAACCCGAGTACGGGAATCCAGGCCCGTAGGTCAAAGTCAACCCTCTGGTCAGCCACGGCCGTTGATCAGATGCATATCTTTGGTTGTCTGAAGGTATCCGGAAGATTCCAGTTTGACTAAGACACGAAGGGAATTGGGACTGCGCTGCATCCAGGCCATTGGCTGCTGCTTCATCCCAGGTAGACTGGAGGCTGGTCAACGCGAGTCAACACTATAAAGTTGACCCAGCCCCTGCTTGTGGCATTCTGCCTTGTGCTGGCTTATTGCTGGTGTGACTACAAGGCTGCTGGAGCTTTATGCTGGCGCCAGATTCTGAGCGTGGGCGCCAGCCTTGAGGGAGATTATGCTGTTGTGGCCATAGACACATAGATCTCGACAATGATAGGGGAGTGGGTGAGGAGGAGGAGGATCTGGACTGCGAGATTGGTGCGTGTGATGAGGGGAAGCTTACCTGAACTTACCGTGATATCGTGTGTCGTATGCTGATCGTCTCCAAGTGGCTGAAGAAAAATTGCGCCATCCTCCCTAATTGCTGCTGACGTGGATGGAGGATGGGCACCCTGTTGTGACCTGCTCATTGTGTATGTCAAGTTCGTCAGAGGAGAACTGCATTGCTGAGGTGGCGAGAGAGGGAGATGCCCGAGGAGGAAGTGGGCTTGAGGAGGGACTACTGCTTCGTTGATTCTTGTGAGAACTCCCCACCTCCTCTCAGTCTCTTCTCCCCCTTTCCTCACTCTCTTCTCTGAAGTTCGAGACATTGGGAGATTACATGTACGCCTGGCATGGTTTCATAAACAATTCTTGGAGACATTAATGCTGCACTCAGTCAGACCTGTATCTCAACATCCATGAGCTTCTCATCTGTCTGCGTTCATTGCACACCGCTCTGAGGTATGCTGTCCTCCGGGGACGGGCAGCAACACCAAAATAGCGGCTCCGCATTCGCATCAGTTCCGCATGGTGAATTGGATGGAAAATAGTCCGAAGAAGGGACATAGTTTTTGGGAGCGGCACATAGTTTCTTAGGGAATGCCCAGCAGGGGAGTAGCACAGAGTTTTTGAAACAGGGAAGTCGCACATAGGTTTGGGGGGAACGGCCAGCGGCAGAGCTGGAGCAAGAATCCTGCAACCTGAAGCAAAAACTGCTACCCAAGCAGGTCATGAGATCAAATCTGCCCGGCCCATTGAAGAGTGATACGAGTGATATGTCAGATGACCAGATAATCAAACTGTTAGGGATCTGCCACAGGCATAGCATTCTCCCAGACTTCCTTTCAAACGACGGCGAGATCGGGAAAAGAGTGCTGGAACTGTGGGGAACGTCAGAGCCGGGTAACAGAGGGGCTACGATGAAGCTGGATGAGAGCCTTGAAAGAGCAGAAGAAATGGTCAGAAACACAGATCTTTAAAAATGAGAAAGAAAAGACAGAACCACGAAGAACCGAGCAAGAATGTAGGTGAGAGAATAGTTTCCCCATCTTCTGTGTTGCCCTCTGTACAGGACAGCATGACACCTTAAACTGCCAATATGAGACACGCTCCTGTGGACGGCTGCCAGTTTTCCACCATCATGAATGAATTTAACCTGGCGCAGGCAGGCCCATACGTCCAAAACATGCCCCCTGACTAACTGGGGAATCGTCAGAATGAATTTAAACCATCACCGCTTCCAATAACCGGGACAGGAGATGCAGGTATATGAGGAAGCACGTACCAACACTAAGCCGCCGCTTGCCAGTTTCCAAACTGCCCTCATTGCCAGAAGCTCCAGTTTCATACAGTAGGATCAGAGGAAGGCCCTGGAATCAGGCTCGTAATGAGGCTTGGAAGTAGCCTCGGACTCCGACTCGGAGGCAGGCTTGGCTTGGACGCAGGCTTGGCTTTGAAGTAGGCAGGACTTCGAGCCATTCTCGGAACTGTGCTTGGAAATAGGCTTGGAGTAGGGTCAGAAGAAGGATCGGAATGGATTTGAGAACTAGGCTTAGAGGTAGCCTCAGTATCAGACTCGGAAGTAGGCTCGGAAGCAGGCTTGGCTTGAAAGCAGGTTTGGCTTGGAAGTAGGCTAGGGTTGGAACTGTTCTTGGACCTGCACTTCGATATAGGCTTGGACTATGGTGAGAACAAATCTCTGAACTGAGATTGAGAGCTAAGCTTCGAAATAGCCTCGGAAGCAGGCTTGAATGTAGTAGGGTCGGAAGTTGGCTCGGAAGTAGGCTTGGCTTGGAAGTAGGCTACGCTTGGAACTGCACCTGGAAATGGGCTTGAAGTAGGTTCAGAACAAGGATCGGAACCGAGATTGGGAAGTATTTGGACCTTCAACCACCAGTACACGGCCATACATTGGTCGTAGGCCCCTCACCTCGACTTTCTAAGGCCGGAAAAACACAACACAGGCCATTGATGAAATTTGTCAATGACGGCCCGACCCCGAAAGTTGCGGTGGTGGGGACGAGTTCATTTTCTGCAAGGCTGGGGCTGTGTATCGGCAGTTTAAGAATTAGGCTTGGAAATAGCCTCGGAAACAGGCCCGGACATAGGCTCGGAAGTAGGCTTGCCTTGGAAATAGGCTAGACTTGGAACTGATCTTGGAGCTGTGCTTGGAAATCAGTTTGGAGCAGGGTCAGCACAAGGCTCAGAACTGAGATTGGGAAGTATTTGGGCTTTGAGAACTTCGCTTGGAAGTAGCCTCGGAAGCAGGCTCGGCTGCAGGCTCGGAAGTTGGTTCTTAAGTAGGATCAGAAATTGGCCCTGACGTAGGCTTGGATAGGAAATAGGCTTGGAACTAGGATCAGAATTAGGCGCAGAACTGGGCCTTGGCCCTTGAGACATATTTTGGCTTTGAGAACTACCATCTTCACCTGAATAGAATGCCCAGTAATTATCGCCGTATCTGGGCTGAAAGTTGTGTCAAATACAGCTATAATGACCGGGCATTCTATTCGGGTGAAGACGGTAGGCTTGGAAGTTGGGTTGGATATAGTCCTTGAAGCAGGGTCAGAATTAGGCTGGGTGAAATATTCGGGCTTTTAGAATCAAACAGGGGTCTCTCTCTCTCTCTCTCTCTCTCTCTCTCTCTCTCTCTCTCTCTCTCTCTCTCTCTCTCTCTCTCTCTCACACACACACACACACACACACACACACAGGGGGATTGACAGGTGTATATGCCGAAAGAAATTGTTATGGGAATGCGGCATGAAGTTTTCTCAGTGAAAGTTTCGGATCTCGCGAGAGCTTGCTTATACAGATGTCCAAATGAAGAGCACTGAAATCACATTACGACTTCCCTAGATGCATCTGATCGCAGTTATGGAATTTATTGTAGGTCCTGGATGTACCAGACCGCAATTAAGTCCAAATAGCAGTCCAGAAAGTCCCAGTGTGATTAATACTGACTATATGTCTTTGAGGAGAGCCCCTTTGACAACTTACCCTGATGTGTTCCAGAGAAGAACTGTGATGAATCGACCCCAACGCACTGGATGCGGCGAGCTTGACGGTCCCCATTCAAGGCTGAGGTAGCGCAACCCGAGCAGAACCATCACAGTAAATGGCGACAAGACAATAAGTCCGGTAGCAAGTGAGGCCGTACCTGTTCCCAGTTCCATTCAAAGACAAATGACAGGAAGGAGGAATGAGCGACCCCAGCAGTGAGTAGCAAGCAGGAAGCAGCATTCACTATGCAACAGCAGGTACTTCTTTCTCAGCAATGTCGTAATCTGAGTGGGTCTCTGAGCTTGACCTGGTTTCCGTTTTTTTTAATGTAAAAGGCCCAAAAGCCTACAAAAGGTGAGATTTCTTGCAAAAGACAAACAAAAAGAGGAAAGAGAGGGCAAAAGGGAGAGACAGGAAAGGAAGAGAAAGGAAAGGATAAAGAAACAGCAGTTCTTTTTCTGGATGGATTACATTCAAATACAAATGAAGGGAGTGCCAGATGGGGGAGCAAGGGGGGTGAGCTAAGGAGAAAAACATCAAGGTGGGAAGGGGGGTGGCTTCATGAAGGGGGAAAAAAAGGGGTTAGAGGAGGAATGAGTGAACATAGCAGTCAGCATCGAGCGGCCTTTACTACGCAACAGCAGGTACTCTTTTTTTTTTTTAATGGTCGTTGCCGAAACTGGGCCCAGTGTCCCTTACATGCACCAATCACTGAAGTGTATTCACGGGACATCTGAGGATCAGGGTGAGTACACTCGAGGCATCTCGGCCTTAACCGAGAGGAACAGGAGGGGTACTTTTGGATGCTCCATTCTATTGGTGGGGTACAAATGATATTTGATTGATGAGTAAATAAAGTGCATTCAGTTCAATGCATGTGCACTTATCGTCCAGGCTTATTGGTGCAGTCACCTATCTCTGAGGTAGCACAAGTGGTTAACAGGGACGCCCACTTTTCGGCCCCAGGTTAACCCCCCAAGGTCCGAAGACAGTGAAAAATGCATTTGGGGATAATTTTTTCCAGTTTTTCTATGGACTGGCGACGAGTTTGGTTTAAAAGGTCTGGGATGTTTGTTATAAAGACCCTGAAAAAACCCTTAAAATTTAGGGCTCTAATAACCGCTTCTCTGAGGTAAGTGGAAATCTCAAGGTAAAGAAAGGAAAGGAGTTAGTGCAGGCATAATGACAATAATGCAGCCCATGGGGTTGAATTGTACACCCATGTAGCTGTTCGATAAACAGACTGCAGGTGCAATCCAGATGGACTCAGATGGACAAAATGACTCTCAATTACCTGGGGCTGGGTCAGTTCAACTATGATAACTAAAGGCCATCCTCGCCCATTTAAGAAAATCCAGCATAGGTACACGTGGCACGAAGAAGATGAGATGGACATAACCCAAATGCGAGGATCTGGGTCCTCGGCAGGCCTAAGGGACTTCTGCTGCAAATGTGCCCGCCCTAAGTGAAGGCGGGCCTAACAAATCACGAGAGGCCTCGGCTGTCAATTCCGTATTTGGGGTTTCGTCGCCCCAGTTGGTTGAGGGAAACACAGACCGAGCAGCGAGGAAAAATCCCAGGCCTTCCAGGCCTTTCCAAAATGGTGCAGGCCCTGGACGAGAATCGCAGCCTCATACACAGACAGTTGGGAGGCCCAACCAAATGAGGCCCAGTAGCTGCAAGAGAGGCGCAGCATCCTGGGGCCTACCGGAAGCTTCTGGGCCCAGGCCAGTCCAGCCAGGCTGCCGAATGAGGCAGGCTCTTTCCATATAGGAAAGAGCTCGCTGCCTGTCCATTCATTCAGGCACTCACATGCTAGCGGCAGCGCTGCTGGAGCGAACGCTCGTGGGCTGCTGCTGGCGCTGAGAGGCGAGGTGCAAGTGCGTGCGGTCGTGCAAGAAGCAGGGCGCTGCTGAGGGCAGCTCCATAGCCCAGCCTCCATAGCTGGCTGAGGGCTTGGATATACAGTGAGGCACTGGGTTGGTCTTCGGGTGTACAAAAACGAAGACGTGGGAGAGAGACAAGGGAGAGAGAGAAGGATGATGATGATGATGATGATGTGAGGGCACATACTTGGTATTGGCGATGGTCTGCATGGGCGACATCTTCAAGTACTTCGGAGGCTGCTGACGTCAACAGTTGCATTGTCAATTAGTAGGCTAGTAGTAGCTGTGTAGGGAGTAGGCTGGGCGCCGAGCGCCAAGTAGGGAGATAGTGACTGGATACATATGTTGGTGGTGGCGAGAGCAAGCTCTCATTTTATTTTATTTTATTTTATTTTATATATATATTTTTTGTAAACGCACCCATATGTTGGTGGTGGCGAGTGCTAGTGGTGCTGGTAAGAGCAGACACCGCTAGCACCTGGGGAGGGCTCCATCTATTGGTGGGGAGCAGCACTTGCTGGAAACCGGGTCCAGCGTCCCTTATATAGACAGAGTTCAAATCACATCGAAACGCATCAGGAAAAAAAGTGTGGTACATTCCTGCCAGCATTGATTACCCTGGGGCCCAGGGGATTGACTGAACAGGAGGTTGGGAGGGGGGAACCTCTTCCCCCTGAACCTGGTGCCGGATATCTGCTATCCCATCCTAGTTCCTCCCACTGCCTTTGAAATACAACGCTGCTGGCCCCCGTTTTGTGTTTTTTACATAATGAGATGAAGTGGGTCCAGCGTCCCGCCCTGATCTGTCCTTTGGCAAGAAAAACGTGGCCTGGACAAAATAACCGTACACATTTTATGATCAAGGCCTGGACAGGGACTGGCGGGTAAGATTGCTGCTAGGAGCAGCAATCCTGCCATATCTTTCGAGATCAGAATTAAGTCTATTCGAGACCTTGACTGGCCCTCAGTACCAGTCTTCCGTAGGCACGAGTAGAACCGAGTGTCCGGGTTCAGCCTCTGGTAGGAGTCGAAAACCTTTAGCGATAGATATAGATCGTGAATAATCCGCTCGTCCTCTTCCACATATGCCGGGGCAGGGGACGGCGTCCGCCATTTGTCCATCCAGCGATCCGGGGCTGCGTTGCAGTCCCCTGCTATAATGATCGGGACCCCATCCGAAATTTGCATCTTGAGATTCTCAAAAAAGGTTCTCCTCTCACTTACAGTGTTGGGGGCGTAGACACACAATATGCATAAAATTTCAATTTCCAGCATGACCAGGATGGACACCCATCGACCCCCCTCCTGATCCACCACCCAACGCACCGGGTCCGCCCTGGAGTCGAGGGGGATCCAAATGGCTACCCCTGCACTGCCCGGTTTCGGGGCATGAGCCCTGAAAGCCTTGTATGGCCAGATCATTTTGTGGGTACGATTATGTTCCGGGGTGTCCATCAGGTGTGTTTCCTGCACACACACACTGTCTGGCCAGTTCCTACCTCCCACCCCTCTCATTAAGTCCCAAATTGCATTTTGTTTTTCTGATTTGCATGAGGACAGGCCATTTACTTTTTGGGACCTCAAGTCCACGTCTTCTGCCCATCTACATTGGTTCCAGATACGGTCCCTCCCATACACCGCGCTGACCGGGTCCATCTTGCCCGAATTGTTCATATTCTCTTTGGTATTTACGTATCATGTAGTTGTTGCTTAGCAACGAACCCATGGCAAATGATCCCAGTCCCAGTCCACCGTTCCCAGCTTGAGGAGGGCGCATAAACATTTTTGAACATCCTGTTCAGTCCATGTGTCGTTGTGCCCTATTTTGGTTGTCTGCGGATTCAGTAGTTGGGCATGGGTGTGCCACCTTAGGCCTGCCTCCTTGATGGGGTCGTAACGTATGAAAACGTCTCGCTGTGCTATTTTGTTGGGACCCGTTGTAATTGAGGCTATTGCTTGTGCTCCCGGTGATAAACTTTCTGTAATATGGCCTTTTAACAGCATCTGCAGAAGACCGACCGCTGCCTCAGATGTGCTGTTTTGTGGCGCCGCCCAAATTGATGCAAAAGTCCTCCTCAAAACTCTCAGGCAAGCTTTGAAAAACGTTTTCGCCCCGGTAGCGCCGAACTGCCGCAGGGCGCAACTGCGGGGCAACGACGCAACCAGGTGAAATCGCGCCGGAGCCAACGAGAAGTGGGCAGCCGCCATAGCTGGTCAACGACGGCCGGCTGAGGGTGGCCGTGCCCGACGGGGTGCAGTGCTGACCTACTTGGCGCGAGGCAGCAGGGACCGGAAAAGGCGAATCAGTCGTGTGCGGACTCCGGAACGGAGCAAGCTGTGCACACGGGCAGGGACGATTCGTGTTCGGACTTGGCGTGGAGATGAACCTGGCGACAAGGATAGCGGAGACAAGAGTAAGGACAACGAGGCAGGACTAGGTAGGGCACGACGACAACCGAGATGAGACAGCGTGAAGAGGTCACAACAAGGTAGGATCAGTGCGAGGTGGTGGCAGATCGAGGGGGAGACCGGGAGGCGAGGCGGTCAATCAATCGGCTTCTACCAGGAGGATTTTCGTTCTTTGCAGCGGACACCGGAAAAGAGTGCGAGGGAGTAACGGAGAAAGGGGGGAGGTGTGTTTTTTTGCAGCGGGAACCGGAGAAAGAGTGTGAGAAGCAACGAATAGAACGAAGGGGGGGAGCAACGAAGAGAGGGGGGAGGTGTGGTTTCTGCAGTAAAAAAACGGGGAAGAGTGTGAGAAGCAACAAGCAGAACGAAGGGGGAGGGGGAGAAAAGCAGGGTTCGAGAAGCGGCATCGACCGAGACGTAAGTGCTCCACGATAAGGTGAGTGGATTTCCCCTCTTACGCTACCTTTTGCTTAGATACGAGTGGAGGGGGGTAAGGGTGTGTGGGATCGTACAGAGACCAGCAGTACGGCTATGGTGGACGAAGCGTTTTCTGTTTTAGTAATGCGTGGAGCGGAGTAAAAAAGGGCCAGAGACGATAGAGACAGGAAGGTAGGGACAGGAGGTGCGAAGAAGAGGATTGCACTGCGAGGAAGAAGAGAGAAACCAATAGTGGACAACACCGAATTAGGAAAGAGGAAGGACACGGGGAGGAGCGGGAGGTAAGGAAAAGTCGAAAACGAGAGCCTAAGTGACGAGTGGGGGAGAGGAGAACACGACGACAGATGCAAATGCAGCCTCTGGTATATCCCAACCAGCCTCCACAGCATAATAACTATTGAAGATCAAGAAGCAAGAAACGAAA